CCCAATTCCAGCAACCGTTCCTTATATGTTTTAGCCTCCAGTCCCCTAATCATCTTTGTTGCTCTTCTCTGTACTCTTTCTAGAGTCTCAACATCTTTTTTACATCGTGGTGACCAAAACTGGATGCAGTATTCCAAGTGTGGCCTTACCAAGGCATTGTAAAGTGGTATTAATACTTCACATGATCTTGATTCTATCCGTGTTAATGCAGCCCAGCGCTGTGTTGGCAGCTGCAGCACACTGCTGGCTCATATTTAAGTCATTGTCCACTAGGATTCCAAGATCCCTCTCACAGTTATTACTTAGAGCAAGGAACTACCTATACTATACCTGTACATTTGGTTTTTCTTGCCTAAATGTAGAACCTTACTTTTTTCACCATTGAATTTCATTTTGTTAGATAGCTCCCAATGTTCAAGTCTGTCCAGACCCTCCTGTATCTTAAGCCTGTCTTCTGGAGTGTTGGCTATTCCTGCCAGCTTGGTGTCATCTGCAAATTTGATGAATTCCCCATCTATCCCCTTGTCCAAATCGTTGATGAAGATGTTGAAGAGCACTGGGCCTAGAACAGAGCTCTGGGGTACCCCAATATACACTTCCCTTCATGTAGATGCGGTTCCATTGAGGACTACATGCTGAGTATGGCCGGTCAGCCAGATACGAATCCATCTGGTGGTGATGCTGTCTAACCCACATTTTTCTATCTTATCAAGTAGTAGGTTGTGATCTACTTTATCAAATGCCTTACTGAAGTCCAAATAAATTATATCCACAGCATTCCTCTGGTCCATAAATTTTGTCACCTGATCAAAGAATGTGATAAGATTTGTCTGGCATGATCTGTTTTTGACAAACCCATGTTGGCTTTTAGTAATGACTTTGTTTGGTTCTAGGTGTTCGCTGATTCGTTGTTTGATTGTCTTTTCCAGAATCTTCCCAGGTATTGAGGTCAGGCTGATACGTCTTTGGTTTCCTGGATCTAATTTTTTACCTTTTTTGAAGATGGGAACTACATCAGCTCTTTTCCAGTCCTCTGGTAGTTCCCCAGTGCTCCAGGATCTTTGAAAAATATAGTTCAGTGGTTCTGAGATCACATCTGCCAGTTCCTTGAGAACCTTGGGGTGTAATCCATCTGGTCCTGGTGATTTGAACTCGTCTAGGCTGGACACTTTCCCCCACTAATGGACCAAACATTTCCTTAACCTTTTTCTTGCTTTTTACATGTTGAAAGAAGCTTTTGTTATTTTTTACTTTGGTCGCAAGCCTTAGTTCATTTTGAGCCTTAGCTTTCCTCACTTCATCTTTGCAGGTTTGGGCTATTTGCTGACATTCTGCCTTAGTTATGTGCCCCTCTTTTCACTTTTTATACTTGTCCTTTTTATCTTTCAATTTATCAGAGAGTTCTTTATGCAGCCATGCTGGTTGCTTTTGAGAGCGGTTATTTTTCTTCTTTGTTGGTAATGTGCTAGACTGGGCCTTTTATTATGTCACTTTTCAAAATTTTCCAAGCTTCTTGAATTGTTTTCCCCTTGAGGATTCTCATCCATGGAATTCTACCCAAGCTCTAAGTTTATTGAAATTAGCTCTCTTAAAGTCCAAGACTCTAGTTTGACTGTGTTCTATTGCTTGTGCTTTCATAATGTTGAATTCTAATATTGCATGATCACTTCCCCCCAAGGTTCCTGTGGCTTCAACACCTTCTATCATTTCATCTATGTTAGTGAGGATTAGATCCAATATGGCTAATCCCCTAGTTCCCTTCTCTACTTTTTGGGAGACAAGGTTGTCTGCTAAGTTTGTCAGGAATCTGTTTGATCTTCCACTTGGTGCAGAGTTTGTCTCCCAGTTGATGTCAGAGTAATTAAAGTCCCCCATTACTATTGTGATGTGCTTCCTACATACCTTAGTTAGCTGATTAGCAAAACATTCATCTATTTCCTCTGTTTGGTTGGACAGCCTATAGTATACACCTATGGCAATGTCATTTCACCCCCTTTTATATTGACCCAAATGCATTCAAGACAGTTTTCATCATTGTTGTGCTCTATTTCTGTAGAGATGTAGTTATTTCTTATATAGAGAGCAACTCCACCTCCTCTTTTGTTTGGTCTATTTCTTTTAAATGATTTAAATCCCTCTAGCTGTGTGTTCCATTTGTGGGTTTCATCCCACCATGTTTCCATAATGGCAACAATATCATATCTGCCCTCATTTACCTGAATTTCTAGTTCACCCTGTTTACTGTTCATATTCTGTGCATTGAGTCCTTTATGACTGACCCTGTGTTTACTTTCTACATAACCTGTGTGGTGCCTGAGTTCCCCTATTTTCTTACCACCTATTTGGTTAGTGCACTTTGTGTGGCACTCGCTATTAAAAGCTTGATTTTGCTTGACAGCAAGGTTGATATTCTTGTCCACACACACATCTATGTTACATGCACTGATAACCCTATAATTTTTAGATTGCTGGGGACAGGGATGTTCTGTATCAATTAACTCACTGTCCCCGTTGTTTAGTTTAAATATTCCTCCAGAAAATCTGTGAATTTATTGCCAAGTAACTCAGTCCCTTTCTTGGATGGATGCAAACCATTTCTTTTGTACATTTTTTCATTGGACCAGTTACAGACATTGTGACTAATATAACCAAAGCCTTCCCCTTTACACTACTCCTTTAGCCACATATTGAATTCTGCTATATGCTGGCCTTTTCCATTTTGCTCCTTACACACTGGTAAACCTCTGAAAAAGTAAGCCTACAGCCTATCCTGCTAAGTTCCTGCCCCAAGCTTTGGAAATCATTCTGCACAGTGAGTACATCTTTTGGGGACAGATCGTTAGTGCCAAGATGTACAATAGCATCCACATCACAGTCCTTGCTGGCATTTTTCATTATTTTAAAAATACGCTTCTTGTCTCTACTGGCAGTAGCACCTGGAAGACACCTGACCTCTTTCGAAACCTCTGTGTCCTTTCCTAAATTTACATCCCTTATAATTGAATCACCAACCAGAAGGTGGCTTCTCTTTCTGGATGCCTTTCTCTTCTTGCATGACTGATGTGTAATACCAATTCACACTTCTCCCTGTCAAAAACAAGTTCTTCATCTTGGACCACAATCCCCTGCTTATTTGAGTTATTATCACAACTACCTTGACCTGTCTTCTTAATGTCCCTATTAAGGTCAGCAAGCGCACTGTATCTGTTATGCAGGGACACAGCAAAAGCTTTGTGTTTATGATTCACAGCTCTCACCCTGCCAGATCCCACGGTTGTCCATACTCCCCTTCTCTAGTTTTTGGGAGAAGGGAGAAGTAGTAGAGAAAGGATTAATAATCTCACCCAGTTCCATGCACGTTGTTTAAAATGCTGATAATGATGTTTTCTTTATTCGGAAGTGCAGCTAGCCTTGACCGCTGTCTTTCCATGATCTACGAGGGTCCCCTCCTTCTTCATTGCCTCTCCAGGGCGACTTTAAACCCATTTAGAGCCCCCTGGTAGGGCGAAATCAGCCATGGGAAGTGGAGCCCCACTTAAACCGGAAGTCTTGATGGTAGTTCCACTCTTGAACATGTATCCATATCCAGCCCTTGTGATTATCTAGCTGAGTGGTTTAAGCCTATGCAGAACAGCATCTTTTAGCATACTATCTGATGGTACTTCTCTAATGAGCCTTGGCAACCAGTCTCGAGGGTTGATCGCAGCTAGTTTATCCATGATCTTCTATCAGCTGTTGTGCTCTGTAATGGAGAGTGTGGTAGTGACATCTCAGCTTCAGGGATTGGCTGCACATCCAGTTGTTTTTCCATGTCTTGGGTATGGGATGTAATGTGTAATTGGTCTATTTCAAGTTATGGGAGCAGTTTCCTCTTCACTATGTTAAAACATTGGATATCTGGCTGTTTCTCAGTTGGTGTGTGGATGCAGGTCTTCTGTCCATCCATAGTTCCCTCATATGTTTCATATATCCCCTTCTCATTAGATCTACTGTTGTAGTAGCAGTTCATCAATACCAAGTTCTCTTGTTTTTTCCATGAATGGTTTGTTCCAGTAGCCACTTACCACTTACAGACTGTTCTGGTTCCTCAACATCTGACACGAACCTTGTTAATCCGGATGACATCCGAATAGGCATGACTCTCCCAGTTCGTGTCACTCTCATTTTCTGAGGTAGGAAAGTGAAGTGTCAGGGGGTCTTTACCCATGGACACCTAATGGTAAGGGATTTGAACCCTGGTCTCCCACATCAAAGGCGGTATTCTAACCACTAAGCTATCCAACCACTACACACACACACACACACACACATCCTATTACTACAAGGATTTTTTTTATTGGAACTGTAGACTTACCATTTGGCATCCCATTGTGATCTGCAAGCAAAATATCGTTGAACTTGACTTTGATTTGTTGCATACATGCCAACCCAAGTAAAAGTGCCACCAATCACAACAGTCCACACAGTGTGCCTTTTCAAAGGATTTGGGTTAAAGCTACATAGAAAATTCAAGAAAATAATTTAAATTTTGTCACTGAAAGAACTCAAGAATTTAGTGGAGAAAAAATGGACTTTTGAATTTAATAAAAATATATATTTTTCCCAGTATAAATATAGAAACTATAAACAAAGTCATTACAAAAGCCAACATGGTTTGTCAAAAACAGACCAATTTTATTGCATTCTTTGACCAGGTGACAAAATTAGTGGACCAGAGGAATGCTGTGGATATAATTTACTTGGACTTCAGTAAGGCATTTGATAAAGTAGACCACAACCTACTACTTGATGAGATAGAAAAATGTGGGTTAGACAGCATCACCACCAGATGGATTTGTACCTGGCTGACTGGCCGGACTCAGCATGTGGTTCTCAATGGAACTGCATCTACATGTAGGGAAGTGTATAGTGGGGTACCCTAGGGCTTTGTTCTGGGCCCAGCGTTCTTCAACATCTTCATCAACGATTTAGATGAGGGGATAGATGGGGAACTCATTAAATTTGCAGACGACACCAAGCTAGCAGGAATAGCCAACACTCCAGAAGATAGGCTTAAGATACAGAAGGATCTGGACAGACTTGAACATTGGG